ATTAAAAAACAAGGCAATGGGCGCCATATAGAACCATTTGTTCCTAGATTAGGATCTCTGATGGCTTTTTCTTGGGAATTTGCCATTGATGTTCAGCCCAGGTCATTAACAGTCGCAGGGTGAAAAGCCTGGCCTCATACATTCACACTGGCTATGCCCCAGATTTAGTGTGGTTTCAGCCCAAGAGTCTGAGAGTAACCGGGATGAATAGCTCTGATTGATAGAGGATAAAACAGCAGTTTAAATGATAATTACTGGTCATTTCATTCCCTCTCTGACTCTGAAAAAGAGGCAAGACAGGCAATGCCATTTATTACTGTTTTGTCACTAACCACAGTCATCCATTTCCTTGCTTACTACAGCAGCCTGAGTCATAAATGCTGTTTGCTTTCAGTTAACTTTAGGAGAGAAAACAAAGTGAAGCCCACTGTGAGCGGTGCTTCTGTCATGGATTTAAAAAAAAAACCTAACAAAATCACTCACTAAAAGCAGAGGTTCCCAGCCTCAGTACTACTGACGTTTTGGACCAGATACTTCTTTGTTGGAGGTAGAGGAGAGGGCCTTTCCTGTGCGTTCTAGGATATTTAGCTGAACTCTACCCACCAGATACCAATAGCAACTTGTAACTGCAGCCCCCACCCCAAGTTGGGACAACCAACTGATCATGTGAAATTCATATCTCCTGCCTGGCCCCTGTCCCACAGATAAACTGCTGCGTTTTCTTGTTCTTTGTTGCTTTAGAAGACGTAAAGACCTTCGGTGGTTCCTGGTGATCCCCTTAAAATACAATGGGGATACTCATTTGACTAACATGGGTATAGCTGGATTAGGTCTTCCAGTATTTTAAGGAAAATTGGATGGTCCAGATTTTAACATAACATTTTGTAGATTTGAAAATGAATTCAATCTAAAAACCACATCCGAGAGCTAAATTTAGTTTGCCGTGTATCAATTAGCAAGATACACTTTATATTTGTTGTTTTAAAATCCTCACACTAGCTCCCTAAAATACATATTATTTTTCCCTGGAACCGAGGCTTTTCAAGTTGGAAAACCTGGAAAAAGGAGTCATTTGTAAGTGAGCTGCTGAGATTGAACTCAAATTTCTTTGCCACAGGGAGTATCATTCAATTCTTGTACAGGAATAAATTTGGGAGCTTCTCAGATGCACACTATGTATTTCAGTGAAGTTTTTTTTTTTTTTTTTCATATAGATATTTGGAAATAAAACGAAAGGAAACAAAAAACTTGGAGATTCAGAGCACGTAAAGATTTCCAGGGCCATCAGGGAACCAAGGCACTGACGATGCAATGCACGTTCAGAGTCCAGGTTTATGGTTGGATCAGACTGTGGCCAGGCCCTGGCCTGCCTCCTGTCTCCTGCTCTACGTGGAATGGCAAGTAGGTGCAGATGGGATAAAACTCCCGATCGGATTCTGTAACAGAAATGGTTAATCATTGCAGCTCTCTCCAGCTAAGCGTGGGCTGGGCGAGACCTCACAACCTTCCCAGCCCAGCTCTCCAGGCAGCTACTAAAAATAGACCAAAGTTGACATGCAAAGTGAAGCCTCTTTGGCATCTCTGTGAGAAAGTGAGTTCTTGAGGACCAGGATTACGACCTTATATTTTTCTTATATTTTTTGAGGGCATCAGAATCCCATCATTTTCGAGCCGGGAGATTTAACATGGCATTACACTTCTCCCACTATTAGAAAGTTTGCAAGTTATTTTTATTACCTGCAGCACTTTAAAACAACTGTTATTCCTTTAGACAGAAAAGTTGGGAAACCAGAATTGTTACTTATTGACTCATCTTTCTACAGATCTTTGGAGGCGTTCTCTTTCTTTTTTTCCTTATTTTTACTTCCTCATACAGCCCCTCTTACATCCCTGCCTCCTTCCTTTGAAGATCCTTGATTAACTTGGATCCACCCAGATAGGAAGATCCACCCAGATAATCCAGGATGATCTCCTCATTTCAAGGTCATCTGATTAGCGATCTTAATTCCATCTGCAATCTTAATTTCCCTTTTCCGTATCACCTAACATAGTCATAGGTTCTAGGGATTGGGAAGTGGACATCTTCGAGGGGTTGTTATTCTGCCTACCATATCACCCGACGCAATCTCCGTTCTTCCTGGGTGGTAGTAATTAACAATGATAGTAATA